ACGTATGATGAACAGTTGTTGGAACTGAATATATCTAGTCTAACAAAGAGAAGAACTACAGGAGATATGATAGCAATCTTCCAATATTTGAAGACTGTCATAGACAGGAAAGGGTTAACCTATTCTCCAAAGCATCTGAGGGCAGGACAAGGTGGAAATTTATCAAACAGAGATCCAACCTAGAATTAAGGAGAAATTTCCTGTTAGGGAGAACAATTAATCAGCTTGCCTACAGAAGCTGTGGGTGTTCCATCACTGGAGGTTTTTACAAAGAGATTGGATAGCTATTTGTCCAGAATCATATAAGGTCTCCTGCTTGAGCAGGGGTTGGACTAGAAGACCTCCAAAGTCCCTTCCAACTTTGTTATTCTGTAATTCTGAATATATGAACTCATCCACATCATTGTCTGGGCATCAATATGGAAGTTCTGCCACTCTTCCAAGTCCTAGCCCACTCAGTTTTTTTAGATCAATCAAGGCTGACTAAGTGCTAGGCAGTGGTGGGATTCAAATAATTTAACAAGTGGTTCTCTGCAGAGGGGGAGGCAGGGGAGAGGTGTCGCCACTTCCGCAAGGCAGGTGGGGGGAGGGGGAGCTGCCCCATGCACCCCGCAACCGCTTACCATGCCGAAGGGCCCCCGCAGCCAGGCTTACCACATCCTGACACCTGTCATGCCTCACCTGTTTGATAGTGACTTCTCCCACTTTCTCCTTCTTCCTCCTCCTTTGAACAGTCCTTCGCTCCGGTTGCTGCTTTTTCAGTCCCAGAGTTTTGTCTGGAGTCTGTGCAGAGGGCCTTTGGAAACAAAGCCCTGGAGCAATCATGTGGGGTGGGAACCATTCCCTTCGCTTTTGGACCGGCTCTGAAATGGGCTGGAAGGAACGACCCGAGGGCTCCAATCTGGCTTTGCAGCAAGCAAGGGGATTGGAGGCATGTGAATGCATGCTAGTCTGGCATCTCAAAAAAACAGGGTTTTTTCCTTGCTCCTGGATTTTTCCTGCCAGACTGTTTAACTTTCTTTAACGTTTCTTGATGCAGAATACAGACCCTTCCCATTCTGCATCAAGTAAACTTTAAAGATAGTTAAACAGTCTAACAGCAAAAATCCTCCCCATACGTGACCCCGGGTTTTTTTTTCTCAGAGAGAGCTCATTCCCAGATTGAATTTACAATTAATTTTCCTCAACTTTTCACACTTACTTCCCCTTTAAATGTAGGGTTAGGTAGTTATTTAGCCATGAATAACTCATTGGGAACTAAAGCTATATTTTAGCACACAACCACATGGGTGGAGACTGACCACATGGGTGTGTCTGATCCCTATCCATGTGAAATGACTTAAATGTTCTTTAAGCCTTGTAACAGCCATTCCAAAAATAGCAGTTCCTATATTGGTCCCATAAATGGTCAAAACTTCTCAGAATAATATAACTGGCCAAACAAACCCATAAAAGTGATAGCATTGTAAATCGTGGAACATAATATATAGCCCAAATTTGTAATAGATGCAAATCTGTAGAAGTATCTCACTGAAAGCTATTCAATGCAGAGGGCAAGGTCTAGGTTTGAGCATTTGAATTCTATCTGCTAAATTTGGTCTTTTACAAAGATAACTGACTACACCTGGATTGGGACAAAAAGGTCATAGAGTTAGCAGGCAATATAATTGCCTATATCAAGTAACAAATGAGGGGAAGTAACCCATTGTTCAGACAACTCCTTCTTGCAATCAGAAAAGCAGATTGGGAAACAATCATTGTAAACTGAGATTTCAAAGTGCACAAGATTTGAAGATCAGACTTTATTAATAAATATTTTATATCCCACAAGGCAAGAACATTTGCAATGAAAATTGAAGCTCGTGAAAATTCAACACAGCATCAGTTTACCTGTTATGACATTTTGCACAAAAAGAGGCTACCACTGATCATGTATGTATAAAACAGCAGACATCAAGATTGGAAGATGTTGTCTGATACTATTTTCGTTATCCCCTCTCTCAATAATATGTGATTTTAAAAGAATAAATCTCAAAAGATTATTTCTCTAGCAACAAAGGGAAAGTAGTTTTTTACATCCCCAAGAAAGAGCTACATCAGTTACAAACATTATTGTCCCTTGCTCAATGCTAATGGAGAATTTCTCCTGGGCTAAAAAATGAAATATCCAGCATTTAATGCTGTCATGTGGAGAACAATTTTTTTCTAAAAAAGGCAAAAAGATCAGCATTGTTATGCTTCCAAAACACAAAATACATGCACTGCTCCCAGAAAGCTGCATGCTATGATTTGAGGCAGTTCAGCACAGCTGATGTTCTAGTCCCATATAACACGGTTGTACTCTATTTCTTTGGTACTTTCTTCTGAATATATTACCTTGAAAATGTAGATTCTTTTATTTGTATTTCCCTCCACTGTGTTTATGATTCTCGTGCTTAAATCATTGATGATCCCCCCCCCCCGCGCGCGCGCTCTGGAGACATTTGTGCTCCATTTAGCATTATGGCATCCCAAGGCAGCCATTTTTGCAGTGTTCAGGACACAAATTTCCAACAAGGTTACTTAGCTGACATCAAGTCATTGCCATGTAGAACAGCTCAGAAAAGGAATGTATAGAAAAGGCAGATAACAGAATCAGATTAGACGGGACGTAAACTGCACATTCACAAAGGGTGTTTCTAGCTTGAAAAAGGTTGAATAGTTTTTAAACAACCTAAATCCTGTAATAGCTTGGGGTTGGGTGGAATGGTAAGTATTTAAAACCACAGCATGTGACTCCACATTTCAGTTCTAGTGAGCACTGCTTTCTTTCCTGATCCTCTCTTCCCTAAACACTTTAATTGCAATTTTAATTGTGAACATAGTGTATAGCATGGCCCTTAGTCACTTAGTGTGTCATAAATTTATTGCATTTTTATGGGCCAATTAAAAGGAAAGTGGAGCAAATGTTTCTTGAGCCACAATGTGTTTGTATTATTAAGTTTAGGGTTTGTGTATGCGTTTTCCTCATTTACTTTTTCTGATCTATAGTAAACTGATATGTAAAAGTGCCCATTTTAAGACCTTTTCAGTGTTCTCCTGAACTGAGTCTTAAATCTAAGTAAATAATAATAATAAAAAACCTTGATTCCTTCTCCCCCATTCCACCCTCCAATGCACACGGACACACACGGACACACAGACACACACGGACACACAAGAGAGATGAAACATGGTCTGTATAATCTTGTTAATCCATAACACACCAGTGATATTATCTCCATCATAATTAGAATTACTTCATAAGCCTAACCAAGATTGCTTCCAGGTGAGTATTTTATTATGAAATCACAATAAATTCACTGGAATTTATTAAGAAAGGAAAATCTATGTATAAGCCTTCCATCTTTTCCTACTCCCTCTAGCATCTTTTTCCATGGGGCAGAAAGTCTGACTTTTCTGAGAAACCTAGCAAAATATTATAGGCTTTCAATGAGGAAATTTCACCCAGCTCTTCTATTACCTTTTTCAGGAGGTACAATTTCAACCTGGGAAAAGATTTATTGGGCAAAATGAGGTTATCATACCTCATTTTATTATAAATTTATTTTTGTATTTTTAAAAAAAACCAGTGTAGAGCTGCCATTTAAAACTAAGACATTGAAACTCAAAATTTGAATGCACATACAGCTGTTTTGGCCTGGGTCCCATATATGTTGGTTTGCCAATATTATGGTTATAGGAAACAGCCAGTCAGGGCACTTTTGTAGTATAATGCAAGGTCACCAGTGATTCCTCTTTCCATCCCCACATCCAAGGCACCTAACTTGCCTCCAAAGTATACCACAAAGCAGAAAAATCTCAGTTAATTTCCAAGCCTATGAGAAGTTATCCCTACATATTTGCTGCACTTTTCTGTTATCTAAAAGTACAGCATAATGCTTAAGCCTCAGCCCTTCAAGGATTTTCAAGTCTCGTTAAACAATAGATTCCCCCACTATTTTGCTCAGCTTCTGCTTCAGGTGGAAGGCTGGTTCTCATGGTTACCAGAATGAAGGACATATTCAGTCTGGTGAGTGTAGTAAATGAGTTTTGTGGGCTTCTCTGTAGAATTCTGCATTCCTTTCTTAAACCTAGGAGGAAGATGATTAGGGGACTGGAGGCTAAAGCATATAAGGAACGGCTGCTGGAATTGGGTATGTCTAGTTTAATGAAGAGAAGGACGAGAGGGGACATGATAGCAGTGTTCCAATATCTCAGGGGTTGCCATAAAGAAGAGGGAGTCAAGCTATTTTCCAAAGCGCCTGGAAGCAGGACAAGAAGCAACGGGTGGAAACTAATCAAGGAGAGAAGCAATCTAGAACTAAGGAGAAACTTCCTGACAGTGAGAACAATTAACCAGTGGAACAACCTGCCTCCAGAAGCGGTGAATGCTCCAACACTGGAAGTTTTTAAGAAGAGACTGGGCAGCCATTTGTCCGAAATGGTATAGGGTTTCCTGCCTGAGCAGGGGGTTGGACTAGATGACCTTCAAGGTCCCTTCCAACTTTACTATTATTATTATTATTATAAGGTAACTCAAATATCAGGCAAATGAAGAAGCAGTATTTCCTATGACATTAATAATAATAACATCGATTAAAAGGGCTGTAGTATCAAAGATTTGTCTCTGGTTTCTTTCATTAAAAAAAAAAAATCAGTTATTCCTAGGGGAGCATTGGTTACATGCAGCAGGATTGAGTGCTGCTCAAGTGAACAGCTTTGCCAAAACCTGAAAGTCCAGCTTATGAGCCTACGCCCACCTCCACTTACATAGAAACTGGAACTGTGGCACAAAAGTGCAGCACTGGTGGGCCAAAGGCTTTCAGATAAAGGTGTACAGTATTTTTATATACCCTCGTTCTTGGATAAGACTTAAGATCTTAGAAGTAGAAGGCCGTCTGGCTAATATACCTATGTTCTGTCCACCAGCAAATATGTCTCAACAATTCTGGTCAAACAAAAAGACATTCAGACAGACATTCAGCACAGCTTGCAGTCCAAGGTGCAAAAAGACTAGTGCATAAAGCCTGGAATCTCTTTATGTTAATCCAGGCAGCCAGTCACGGATGCTACAAAAATGTCACATCTTCTTGAGACTCAGCCCACTGCCATTGACCATCATATTCCAGGTGCTTCCTGTTATTGAGTTTGCAATTCTCTGAATCCATTTTGCTGCTCCTGGAGGCCTTTATTGCTAGACTCCCTTTACTTGGTTGCTCAGCAGCTATGGAGGTAAATTTCTCCTCAAGGCTCTGCACTAGCATAGGGACTTGTCTACCCAAGATTCCATTAGCCATTGGTGGTGACAGCTGGACAGGTGCACTTTGCTTGTTAAAACTTTGTTTTTTAACTAAACCAGAGGCCCATTCAGGGTAAGTTTTGCTTTTGTCTTGCTCTTTGTCCACTTTTGCAAGAAAGATCCTCTCTAGATCTGCCTTCGATCTTTCTAATTCACTTCTGACCAGAGGTCTACCTGAGGTAGGTGACATTATGGGCTCCACAGAAGAGCTTTGTCCATATTCATCCATATCATCAGCTAGTGTGTCCAAATAGCTACCAATAGATATACTATCCAGTTTATCATTGGGATCCTGAAGACTATTCCAGCTGCCTCGTCGGGATGTATCCTGACTTTCTGCCAAGCTGTACTGACTGCTGGTAAGGCTGCTACAGCGGCTGGTCAGCATCGCTTTTTCCTCAAGGAACCACTTGACAGCTTCTATTCCATCATTCACAGCTACCAGTTGATGGAGAATCTTGATATCTATTGTTCTTAGATAGGCCTGTGGATGAAAGAAGAAGATATAATTAGATCATACGCTGGATGGAAGATCTTCCAAGGTAAATTGGAATTACTGTAGACTATATAATAGTCAAAGGCCCAATATTTCTCAACACAAACCACATCAACTACAGAAATACACCGAAGGGATAATTTTTCACATTTAAGTGGGCTCAGTATGTTTTCATACGCCAAACAATACACCCATTTTAAGGCAACATGCTAATGATCCTTCTCCAATACACGTGGTTACTCCCACTCAGGTGAGTGAAATGGAAAGGAAAGGATTGTGTATCAATGAGAGAAAAAGGAATAATCTGTTGATAGTCTTGGCCATTGTTAAGATATACTGCTTAACATTCCAATTTTCTCATCAGGTATCACCAGATATTCTGTATTTTAATTGCCATGATGCCCAGTTAAAATCCAACACTAGTTTGTCGTACAGCATGAGGCAAAATAGAAGGAATTCTAGCCTTCTATCCACTCTAGTACAGTAAAAAATGTGCACTAAGGATAAATTATGGTGAACACTTGTAGAGGCACCAGGCTGGGAAAGGCTGAATCAATGAATCAACAAGGAGAAGATATTTCTATTAATTGAAAGTTATATTTTAAACTTTTTTACTACAGGATTTGCCATTAAGTCTTTTTGCAATTTTACCTCTATAGGCAAATTCATTAATATAAACTAGCCATATAAGGCCCTAGGATATGAAACCATATGAAAGGGACCATCTGTCTCTACCTGTTTATTTTTCAGAATCTGGCATTTCCCCTAATTACCTCAAGCTTTTGTGCTGAGCAGTGACATGGTAAAGATTTAAAGTTTTATGTACCGAGTAGCAATAGCAAACAGCTCCTAACAAAGAGAATAATCCAACATTATTTGATTGTGAAACAGCTGCTTGGCTATATGAATCAACTTCAAGCAAACTGGAGCTGCCAAAGTGTTCGGTCTGTTTACTCTTGAATGTTACCCTGCAAGAATAGGAGATGCAGTCACAAAGGGCAGAAGAGAGGCAAAGTTCTTGAAAAGCTAGCACAAAACTTGTTTAGAGAAGCTTGATTTATTAGCCATGATTCAAAGAACACAATATTGGTAAATGATTCCAGCTGGACTAGATAATGTTGAACTAGCAAGATGACAGATGTGAGCACCATGGACAGAGGGGAACAGTTCCCAAAATACATGCTTAAAAATTAACCAAAAGGAATGTCTTTGCCTATAGATTAAGAAGAGCATGGAAAGTGGGAACATTAGAAGCCACGGATTGAGGGTGGCTTCATAGATTATTCCAGCAAAGCATGATATAGAGCAGGCATGTCAAACTCGCGACGTCATGTGATGTCGCACAACGTATCAGGACTTTTTTCCCATTGCCAGCAGTGGGGTGGGCGTGGTTTTGGCATGACGCCTCTGGCCCGTGGGTCGGCAGTTTAATATGCCTGATATAGAGGGATCTACACCTATAAACAGTCTGTTTATACTGTAGAATTCTTGACTTAAATGACAATTTATCACATGCAAAATAAGGCTGCTTACAATCCTCTCACCCTAGTCTCACACTAGTATTTCCAATAGTGATTGTAATGTGAAAATAATCTCAGCTTTATATATTCCACATTTGCCACTTCTTTATCTTGAAACCAAATTCAGCACCATTTGTTAATATAAAGGAAGGGGTGGGAAGAATCAGATTCTATCCATGATCTTGACCTGGTTTTATTGAGTTGGAATGATCCTGATACGTAGATGTGTTCTTAAAGGAACTGAAGAAAATTACATTTATTTTCCTTTGATAATTCTCCATATTTGCCTTTGAACTGAATGTTCGAAGTAGCAGATTCGCATGCACAATAATCTCTACATTTCAGTTGTGTAACTCGATCTTAGAAAGTAGAAATGTGAATGAAGAAATGGAGGAATTGTATCTACGGAAATATTTGTCCAGAAACCATTTCAAAATATCAGGAAAAGACTTGAGAACAAATAGGATATGAATCCAGTAGCACAAGGCTATAGTCCTATTTTTGAACAAAAGCAAACACCTGGTGTTTGTTCAAGAGCTGTGACTAACATGTTGCAGCAATTCCCAAAGAGTGGAATGAATTGTTTTATCTGAAACTGGATGAATAGCTTGGAGGGAAGGGAAGAGGAAAAGCTCTGAATTCCATCTTAATTGTTATTTGTAGCTTTCAAAACAAGCTCTTTATGGTTAAAAATTCAAAGAAAATACAATGCTAACAGCACCTATATTTGTTGGTAATGTCAATATGCCAATCTAAACCTTATAAACTTAGCAATATATTTTAATGGTACATCAGCTGGAACAGATACTCAGTCAAAAACACATCCAATATATCTGACTGTAGGTCATATTACCTGTGGTTCCTGTGAATTATAGTGCAAAACATCTGGAAAGGCACAGTAGGAAGATGACTCATTAAGAGTGAGGTGTGGTTGATTAACCATGCTCATAAATCCACCTCGAGTTAATGAGGAACACAAATTCCTCTGAAAATACTCCCACTTTGGAAATGAGATTAACTCTATAGAATGCTCCAAGAATGAATCACAGGATTCATTTCACTGGGCAGCTGCTGACTTTGTCAATGGTTCCTTTTTATAGGGTTAAATTTGTTTTCAAAACAAAAGGGCTTTATTTTAAAATATGTATTATTTCAGTCTTAAATATCAAGAATTTATGGAAGGGTGTTCATAGGACAAGGGACATATTAAGCAGCCTGATAGAGAATAAATGCCTAAAGGTCTCCTTATCCACAGTCTGTGCATCCTAGATGAAGAAGATTTGCTACAATAATGAGGATCTTTCCAATGGGAGATGCAGCTACCGATCTGAAATGGGTCTTTTCAATAACAGAGCCAATAGTGCTGACCTAGAAAAACCTTATAGTCCTATCTAGGCATAAAAGCTGGCTGGGTGACTTTGGACTAATCACTGTCTCTCAGCCCACAACTTGCCTTGTTATTGAGAGGAAAACAGGAAGCAGAGCCTTACATAAACTGCACAAAATAAATGTAAGATATACAGGTAACCCTGGACTTACAACCAGTCATTTAGTGATGGTTCAAAGTTACAACAGTACTGAAAAAAAGCAAGTTATGAACATTTTTCATGCTTATGACTATTGCAGCATTACATGATCAAAATTCGGATACTTGGCAACTGGTATGTATTTATGATGGTTGCAGTGTCCCAGGATCATGTGATCTCTTTTGTGATTTTCTTAATAGGCAAAGTCAGTGGGGAAGCAAGATTCATTTAACAACTGTATTATTAACCTAACAACTGCAGTGAATCGCTTAATAACTGGCAAGAAAAGTTGTCAGATGGGACAAAACTCCTTAACCACTGACTTGCTTAGAACAGAAATTTTGGCCTCAACTATGGTTGTAGGTTGAGGGTTACTTATAAATGTATTAATAAATAAGCATTAAAATAGATAAACAGACTCCTGACCCCCGGAGGCCCCTTCCAATGAAAAATGCCTTACACTGATTGTATTGTCTGTTTGCTTCTAGGCAAAATATTTTTATTCTCCTACGCCTTTGTAATTTATAAATATATCTACTGCATAGAATTTTTAAATCTTCTGGCTGATGGTTTTATTACACATTAATATTTTGTGTATTTGAATTACTAGTCTAAGGGTTTTTTTTAATCTTGTGATTATGTATCACAACCCATCTGGAAAAACTGGGTTTTAAAAGATGGCATATGAATCTAAAATTCAGTTACAAATCCTTCAGGACTTTGCAATCACATTTAAAACATTTTCTCCAAAACAGGAGAAAAGTAGGGGGGAAAGCCATAAAAATTAGCCAAATCTCTGATCTTTGTCTAATACACTGTTTCTCAACCTCAGCAACTTTAAGATGCATGGACTTCAACTCCCAGAATTCCATTCACCTTAACTTGCTGAGGTTGAGAAATACTGGTCTAACATTTTAACTACCAATCTACGCTGAAGCTAATATTATAGCTACAGATAGAGTGCACTGATACTTTTAAAATCCCTCAGGACCTTCCTGAATTAGACTCTCAATTACTTTCATTATAATTTAATTATTTCCTCAGAATACAGAAAATAATTTCTACTTGGAGATTATTTGTGCACATTGCAGTCTTAGTTTTGAACTAAAATAATGCTAAAGAACTCCGATAGCATAGTGATTTTCTGAGATTTATGTGCCAAGGCCTCCCAGGCATCAAAACAATATCCATACTGAATTACAGCACTCTCAGGTGAAAAGAAGGAAGGTAAAGAAAGCTTGACAGAATGCAATTAATAAAATGGGCCATGAATCTTTACATTTTGTTTTGCACACATCTGACCCAGAAAATTTAAAATACAGATCCTACAAAGAATCCCAACCCCCACAACAAGGATCGTGAAAACGATCCTATGATTTCATTTTCTTCCAGCCTGGGCTTGCTTCAGTTAGAAATAATACAAATAGTTCTTTTAGAATTATAATCCTAGTACTTTACTTTGTGTTTATTTAGTCTCATCACGTAACCTTGCATTTAAAACTTGTAAACTAGTAGGCAGCTAATGAACAAAACACCAAACCAGTGAATTAAATTTACTTTGATAATAAACAATTCAGAAGAGCAGCAGAAAATTACAGAACACAGCCAAAAGAGAATGCCATTTAAAAGCATGGAGAAAGTTAAACATTAAATGAAATGATGCAACCATTTTCAATCCAGATCAAATGTATTCCCACCAAAGATAAAGATCTGTTTCATGAACTTTCAAAAAGCTTTTAGAAAGGAATTTTGGAACTGAGATGCCACCATCAGAAAGGCTTTCTCATGTGTGAATATATTTTCTAGGACGTTTTTACTGTGGAAAAAGTAAGAAGATAACATCTTCGAGTCACGCTCATCCATGAAATTGTCTTGGAAACAATATGGAAATGACATGCCAATGTTTCCTTCCAGGGTGTTTTTCAGCTTCTCAGACTAGCCCGCGGCCCTCATATTTCCCAAATAATAACTGGACTTCCAAGTATAGACAAGATTAGCAGGAACTACTACTACGTGCTGAGGCTTGAAGCAAGCAAGTGTCCCAAACACGATAAGAAGAACTTGAAAGGACGTTACACATACTTCTCTGTATCAGTTGGTGTAATGTGATATCCAACAGGATGAATGTCACCTCAAGTTACATTTTGACATTTTATCTGTTGGCCGTGCTGGCTGGCATTTAGAGAGCTTGCACTCCAGCGCAACAGGGGCACAAGCTTTGGTAAAAGCACGCATGGCCAACTCACACTGGCTGGGGCAGGAAGTAGTAGTTTTTCTGACTCTTCTCCTTTATATCTTCCTTAAGAAGAGACCTTTTGAAACCCAGAGGGTCAGGGAAAAAACTGTATCAGTCTCGGTAGAAAAGCAGGCCTCCCAGGAAATAAAGACCTTCCAGGAAGTAGTAGTCCAGCAGGCTACTTCTGCCTAAATTGTTTTGATGAAAACCTCTAGTAGGAAAACTACCTTTTCTGGATTTATACTTAAGATGTAATTCTCAGAAAACAGCTACAGGTAGTCCTCAACTTACGACCACAACTGAGCCCAAAATTTCTGTTGCTAGGTGAAACATTTGTTAAGTGAGAGTTGCCCCATGTTACGACTTTTCTTGTCGCAGTTCTTAAGTGAATCACTGCAGTCGGTAAATTAGTAACACGGTTGTTAAGTGAACCTGGCTTCCCCATTGACTTTGCTTGTCAGAAGGTCACAAAAGGGGATCACATGACCCCTGAAAACGGCGACTGTCGTAAATATGAGTCAGTTGCCAAGCATCTGAATTTTGATCACGTGACCATGGGATGCCGCAACGGTCGTAAGTGTGAAAAATGATCATAAGTCAAGTTTTCCCGTGACCTTGTAACTCTGAACGGTCACTAAATGAACTGTTGTAAGTCGAGAACTTTGCACCAGATCAAGGAATTAGAGGCAATCAAGTTAGACTTGCTCTGCTGGCAATTCTGTAACATATGGCTCTGTTTTGCATGTACATGCAAACAGTGAAAACAGTCTGATTCACCACGTGAAAATCAATCTCCTAAATCAGCCATTTCTGGCAGTGCAGCATGTAACTTAATACATCCCAACTGTTTTCCTTCCACATTTCTCAGCATCCTCATAAATGAAGAATTTCGTGATGGAAACAAAGTATATGACGGATGAAAATACCCTCAGTTTGAAAAATCAAAACAACACGCTCTTCCTAAGAAACCTTATGAGTATTTTCATGCTGAGGAGCAGATGTGTCCCTCAGGCAAACAGCCAGCCTATGTGTGGAGAATGGAGTCCTGTTTCATTGCATTCTGTTTTCTGCCCGGAGAAACAATCTCAGGACAAAACAGTTTTCTCTCATTCTCTTATTTTATGTTGACATGGAAAAGTAATATTTAAATGCCAAGTTTCATAGGAAAGATCATTTTAAAAATGGGGATTAGATTAGTGTTGAGGCACCGCTGCTTATTACAATGCTGATTGTCATATTTGGTTCCCAATTTTTTTTTAAAAAGATCAGAAGTAACCTGAAGACCATTCAACCTGAAATTTTACGTGACAATATTTTCCATTTTTATGGATATCTCAATAAGTTAACAACACAATCCTGTATATATTGACTCAGAAATAAATCCAAGTTCAGAGGGATTTAGTCTCCTGTAAATGGGCTGCAATGTAAATCACACCAGGATGACACACTGTAGAGTGTTCATAACCAAAGCTTTAAACCCAAAACTTAAACCCAAGCTTCAAGATTCTTGAGTCATTTTCACTTCCTCAACAAGTAACCCTCCATAGCAACTGTAGTTACATCGGAGGACTGAATACAGCAATCCTACGCATTTTTTTAAAAAAAATTATTTGAGTCAACTTCAACTCTTGCTGACTTCTTGGATAGATACATAGGGAGTTAGGGGTAACAGCGCAGTAGCTTGCTCTAATGCTGGATGGGGATTCTGGGATTTAAAGTCCACAGATCTTAAAGTTGCCAAGGTTAGACATCCCTGCTCTAACCTTTTCCAACTTTTCGGTCTAGTCTGCCCTGGTATTTCATGCATGCCTTCTTGGAAATAAATTCTACTCTGTTATTACGTCCTAATTTTCACCTCAAAGAAAAGAGCAGCGAAGAAGCATTTTTTACTTTATTAGCAATTTTTGTAAATTGCTAAAAACTGACTTGTGGGAGAAAATTAGGGTTGTGACTGTTGCCAACTATTTATTGGGTTTTATTGGTTTGATTAACTTGAATTATTTGTTTCATTGGATTTAGAGCTTACTCAATTCCCAGACACCTCTGGATGGCTTACATGTTAAAAATAGAAACAATGAAATGAAAATAAAAAAGAGAAACATGTATATCTGTTTTGTGGTTATTATTTTTAAAGATTATTTTATTATAGATGCATTTTTCAAAGTTAATGTTTGTTAATAATGTTATATTATGGATATGTTTATGTAATAAATGAACGTATAAGCCTCTAAGGATCATTTGATTGGGCTGGTAATAACAAATTGATAAATGTATTTTTCCCTTTCTGTTTAAACATCCCTGAAGTTTTCTTGGCAAGAATTTCCCGAAGTGGTTTGCCATTGTCTCCTTCCTAGGGTTGAAAGAAAATGACTGGCACAAGGTCACTCAGTTGGCTTTGTGCCTAAGGAGGGACTAGAACTCATGAGCTCCCAATTTCTAACTTGATGCCTTAACCACTATACCACTGGCTCTAAGAAATGTATACATTCTCCTATTTGAATCTCTCTTGCCCTAAGGTTCAATTATAATAAATCTGCCATGATGCAATCCGCATGATTAAAAACAATCATAATCATAACTTGAGCTGCTACCCTGCTTAGCTGATCCTCAAAACAGTTAAGCAGGTTTGGACTTGATCAGTACTTGGATGAGAGGCAATCAGGGCAATAGACTAACCTGAGAAGTTTAAAAAATCTCAAACAAACTATTTCCATATTCAGAGTTGTTTTACAATTGGAATGATATATAAGCCTCAATAAGTAAGTTTTTAAAAAAAATCTTAAAGGACAAGATATGGATGCAGACATGAAGTTACCTAGAGTTGAACTTGACTAGATCTTACCTAGTGCCTGTTTAGTTTAGTTCCAGGTGCCAAATAAATTAAAGCTGGACACCCTAAAATCATTTTATGATAACTTCAAACAAGCTGATGTTTCTTAGATCCAGTCTATCCATTTTCATGCTTTTGTCTCAATTGAGCTAAACAAGAATGCCAAGTATGTAATACTCCGTGTGTGTGTGTGTGTGTTTTGCATGTGCATATGTGTATGTGTGGGCGCACACATGGATGTCCATTAAATTGAATAGGAGATTTGGTCCCTTATTACTTCAATGGAATTCTTTGCAGAATCCCATTGAAAAGCCAACCGCGTCGCTAGAATTGTACAGACGTTCAGAGACACATCTTCTTAACTTTGAAACCAGACTTGGAAAAATGTCTCCAGTATCTGAAACTGGGCTATCACATATTTCAATTTCAATCTGGTACTTGAAATGGGCTGAGCTGGGAAATGGTAACCTCACGATCAGAAGTATAACGGATTGAGCATTGAATATAGACTGAGAGCTAGAGAACAGAGTGAACTTTTAAAGCTATACTAATATAAGTAATCAATAATATAGCAAGCATCTAGCACAGAAGTATTTTTTCCTTTCCAGCCAAGAGTGGGAGTGCCTGTCATATCCAAAATCTGATGATAAATCTGATTTTGCATCCTGGAAAGGAAGCTGAGCTGGAACAGATGGGACAAATGGGTGCAGAGTTGCCCACCATCAGATGGGAATGCAGTGCTTGGGACTTGGAATCGGGAAATAGGGGGACATCCAATAAATTGATAGCCTATAGAAAGATAGGCAAACTGGACTGAGCAGTTTTCAGAACCAATCAGTAAAAGACAGGAGAGCAGGGCTAAGGTCCAGGCTCCAGGATGAGCATTAATGATCAGGTTCAGCAGAGACCATCAGGGGAAGATGTCCAGAGGAAAATTCCAAGTTCACTCAACACCAAAAATCTGCCACCCAGCCAGCCAGTAGGGCTGGGTTTGCTTCATCTAAAGGGGGGGAAAAAAGGCATTTGGGCGAAAGAAAACTCAATATACCTACGGTAGTTGTGTAGGTAGCTGTGTAAAGTAACAGAAGGCAAGTCCACCCATTCATAGTGAGAGATTCTTTATGCCAAATCAGTTCTTACTACTAACACAGGAAGGCCACGCCGCACTTAGGAATGGAAAGGAAAGAGGAATGAATGAGGAAGGACTTTGGCGGAACAAGACCTTTGCCTTTTCTCCTTCCAGAAGCAAAAAAAAGAGGTGTGTGTGTGTGTGTGTGTGTGTCTGTGTGTGTGTCTGTGTGTGTGTATGGATGTGCAAAAGGGGGCATCCTATCTTTCCGCGCGGAAAAGGGAGAGGGGGTTCCGTGACTCACCAGTTCCACCTTCAGAGCCTTGATCTTCTCCCCCAGACCGTGGCGCGGCCCCCGATTCGGACTGTTCCGAAGCAGGTGAGCAGCGGGGTCCCCCCGCAGCCACCGAATCAGCCCGTCCGGAGGTTTCTGTCCGAGTTTCACCTCCAAATCCTTCAGGTCCGGAGGCAGGGAGAGCTCCGCGCCGCTGCCCGGAACCTCCATCCCGGGAAAGGGGGCGGTCAAGCGAGAGGCTGGATCTAGTCTCGGCAGCTGGAAGCGGGCGCTCCCTTCCCCAACCCTC